CTCGCTCCCCTGCAGGGCTCCTACCGCCGCGGAGGGAGCCGAGCCGCCGGGAGGGCGGGCTGCCTCGTTCGTCACGGCGTCTCCTCAGGAAGGAGCGATGGAAGAGCGGTGCGAGGGAGCCGGGGCACGGGCGGGTGGGCTGTGCCCCCGCGGCCAGGGCGGGCGGAGCGGGTTTCCCCGGCAGAAAGGGCGCCCGCGCCTGAGGGGATCGGCCGCAGCCCTGAGGGGATCGGGCTTCCTAGGCCAAACTAGGACGAACGCGGAGGGTGGGTGGGTGGGGGGGTGACAACCCTCGCCGTCCCTAGCTGCGACCGTCCTGAAGCGACCGTGGGCCCCGTCTGACAGGAGCACCCTCCCGCTTTCCCCGTAACGCTGCTGAACCCGTCCCATCAACACCCGGCTTCTTACCTGTACACTCTAGTCACAAACAGAAAAATAAAAATCTGATAATAGATACTCAGACAAAATTTGATCACCTGCAAGCAGAGGTAGTTGAAGTTATGGAGTTTCTTGTGTATTTGTGTCTCATAGGAAAAAAAAAAAAAGAAATCCAAGGAGAAAAGATTGTTCCCTTTCACCCCTGCACAAGCTCAGTTTACCTGGAACATTAAAACGCCAAGCTATTGAATGTGGAAGCGAGCTGGTATCAGTTAAATATGACCTTTCATTATCACCAAAGGTAACATTACAGGATCACTGCACCATTGTCAGAAAGAAAGAGTTAAAAAAAAACCAAACTCCAGCAGATGAAAGCCAAACTAATTTTCATCTGAAATACACATGTACTAAAGAATGCATTGAATTTATTTTATTTCCTATGCAACCCTTATTGTGAGCCTGTGAAAGTGTTGCTGAGGAGGTCAGTTCCGAAATCTAATACGCGTGAACAGCAGTAGTCCAGCAGTGCAAGCAGAGAGTAACTGTGCAGGCGTTTGACGCTGCCTACCTGCAAAGCAACAGAGCTCCTTGTAAGGTACACAAACCAATGCAGAAGCATGATTTCTGCTAAGATGAGAGGACAAAAACACAATGGTCACTAAATATACCGATACTGATTACAGGCTTGATTTAAGTCTCTTTAGGGCATTCAGGGCAGGAATAATGATAACAACAGGCATGAATGGGATTAAACATTTCAGTCAGGCCTCCGCAGTCCGGCATCATTCTGTATGCAGAGCCCCTGCTCTCTCTGGGTTTAAGTGATGGACAAGAATAGGATTTCATCTGAGAATTGCATGTAATACTGCATGTATCTAGTGTCAAATTCCTCCATTGCTATAGGTACGAGATTCTCAAAGTGTACTAAAAATAACAATACAGGTCCAGAAATGTAAGGCAGCTGGGCTGGCTGTGCTCAGTACAGGACTAGTTCACATTGGCATGAGAAAACAGTATAAAGTTGTGAGTCTCAGACCAAGCAAAGGTTCCAACAACCAAGAAAGTGACATTGTTGACCAGCCAAGCAGTGACACCTGCTGAGCACTCACCTACCTCTCAGCATGGGCTGGTGCAGACTAGCAGAGGCTTGGTCAGCCCTGCTAGATATTTTGCCTCCATCACTGAAGTATTTAGCTACCCATTTTCTGTAGCCCCAAGAGAGGAGCCATGGGAATTGGAGGCCTTATTACACACGTCTCCACTTTAATATGCCAGAAACATCTAATTTCCCTGTCCAATAAAGATTAGTTTTCTGCTGTTTTATTCTTTCCCAGCTGCTGCCATTTCAAGGTGTAGATTGAAATGACCGATGGGTGTTAATACTTTCTCCTGTCATACAAGCAAGTGACTGTGGACAGCTTAGGTGGCAGGGCTGACAAACTTGAAGTGAACATGCATCTTGCAAGAGAGGGAAAAAAATGCACGGGAGTGAAAATTTTAAAGCTCACTGAAATGTTTAATAGAGATGGCAATTCAAAAGTGTAGTAAGAGGTAACATCAACATAGCTAGCTCTTAGGATCTTATCAAACCCTGCTGTGAGTGATGTTTCTTAAAAAATAGCAGCTGCTGGAGACATGCAAGTAAAAATTCTTGTGTATATTGTTTTAATTATGTTTAAGCATTGTAGCTAAAACTGAAACATTACAATATGGCATTGGACATTAAAAGATAAAATATGGGATCCCACGTGATTTGGAATTTGTAGATTTATGGAACTACTTAAGATTTTTAATATGAGGAGAAAAAATATTGTAGTATACTAGCAACGCTACCAAGAGTAAGAAACAAGTTAAAAAGAAAACATTTGCTAAACCTATAGTATATACCTATTTAAGGAATAGTGGACAAAATGGAGCAGGATTTGACTGAGTTTAGGTTTGAGCCACCTAGCATGGTACACAACACCAAGCTGGAGTGATTATAAACAGCTTTTCTGAATGTCTTGCTAGTGCATTACTTTCATAAAACACCTGCAATCATCCAAACACAGAATAGTTAGGAAATGGTGTATTTTTTAAAATGGCAGAGCCCTATAGCAAGGGAACAATTAGTACTCATTCCAGTGTGGTGACTTCTCCTGTCCTGTTAGATACACCTTTTTATGTTTTTCCAGCCAACATGAAATTATATTCTGACTGATAGTCAGCTCTTAAAAGGCACAGCCATTAAGATATAATAGCATTATGTTGTCTACAACATGATGCCACGTCAGAAGAAAATATAATTTAAACTGTATTTATTTTTACCTCCCATCAATACTAGCTTGCCAAAAGGTTCTTTGGGATGGAAGTTTACACTTACCAAAATACTACTCATTTCATGAAGAAGGTAAGTGCATTTTTTTATTTCTCCCCACCCCCACACCTCCATAAGAGTTTTACATTTAAAGGATACAGTAACAGTATTAGGATAAGATAGCAAAAATATTTCATTGGGTAACAAAATAATCACAGCTGCAGAAACTACAGCATGAAGCTGACATGTTCCCTCTTCTCCAGTTCATAAAAATCACCCTTAGGAACCAAGTCTTTAGAAGACAACCCTTGTTCCTTCAGCAAGTACTCTTCTAACTGAATCTTCTGGAGCTGATGTATGTTTCTGCTTATTAGTATTTTTATGCTAGCACTGAAGGTATATATGTGAGTCATTAATCAGATATTCCCACCCCAAGAATTTTTGTATTAGACAGAAATACATGATAAAAGTCCTATATAATATATGGAAATGCTTGTATGGCAAAACTATTAATTTTCTCTAGCTGGGGTCAAATTTGACATCCACAGGAATATATTGCTACTGTATATCCAAAGCGGCTCCAGCTCAATCAGTGGGACTAATTTTAGTATGCTATTCAGACTGAATAGGAGGGCAACTTTGAACATAATCTATTTATTTCACGCATAAGGTATTCTGAATCAGCAACAACAACAAAAAAACTTACCACATAGCTGGAAACTTTTTAGTCTATCCTGGATAATCTTTGCTTGCATTTGTGTTTCAAAATATTTAGTACCACCTTTAAATGGTTTATATAAACCCAGAGAACCAAGAAAGACTGAAAGAGCAGGCAGAGAATGGCCAAATGCAAGACTGAATAATAAGCAAAAAATCAGCCCGACCACCTTCAGCAGACTCACACTTGGTCTCTCAAGTAGAGAGACAGAGACTGTGCTTGAGAGCACAGTGAAATGAATTTAAAACAAGTTGCAGCACATTCTTCACCTGAGCTCTCACATTGTTCTAAGACCCCTGCAATGCACAGGCAAAACAAAACAAGCATCAGAATTTCTGACATGACTCCTTGCTGAAAGCAGCTGGAAAGCTGTGGAAATTATGATGTAGCTGCCTGTTGTAGTCAGGAAGGGACATACAGAGTCAGTGTCCCAGTTCCTGGGAAGTACGCTGCTTTATAGAAAGCTGATTTTAATTTGCTACTTTGAAGTGGTTGGATATAAACTGTTCAGTTTATTCTTTGCCAGACACAGTGGAAAATAGAAGTCCCTTATATTTGGAATTGAAAATAGGCCTATTTATTGTTTTGCTATCCATTGTTAGAGAAGTGCAGAAAAAGTTTAGGACATCTCATCATGTCTTGGTCGTCTATGAACGCTCCCATTGCCTCTCTTCCCAGTTCAAATCAAAAACTGAAATGCAAAGAGCAGAAAAATAGTAACATATCCTTCCTCCAGCAAGAGACCCCAAAGGGACTGTAGGAGCTGTCAGTGACAGAAAATACAGAACAGCAGACCTCTTCAGCACGCCATATTTTGAGAAATACCAGAGGCTTAAATCTCAAAGTCAATCTGTGTTCTACATAGCCTTGGTATCCCTTCATG